CAAAGTAATGGTCCCCGTGTTGACAGTTCACGCAGCTGCAAACCGTACGAGCGAATACTGAGCGTGCTGCAAACATGCCCGTTTCCTCCCTAATGGTTTGTGATGTGGTTGTACGGTTTTGCAGGGCCGACCTCACAATATGTCTGCCCTCTCGAGCGTTAGTTATGGGAGGGCATGAAGATCATGCAGTGGGACTCTCAGCAACCCATTGATTCCATACTCGCATGACAATGGTTAGATTTCGACCAGTGCGATGGGTGATATCACGGACCGATGTAATCTACATCTATAGGATACGACCCTGCCTCTATCGAATTTCAACCTTTGCTGGTAAGCATTTCATCCTCTTATTCGAGGCATATTATGACATTCTGACTAAAATCTGAACTTAGAAAGCGCTTTCCGAATCAGAAATCCACTACACAATTTTTCTCTTATGTAGCTCTCAGATGTTATTTCTCCCTTCTGCTTCATCCGAATGCGCTGAAATACTTTTCATTTGTATACCCCAACCTCTTCCTCTCATGTGATTTTGATGTTCGTCAATCACATCTTAAAACATTTATTCTTTAATAAAAAAAAAAAAAATGAAATTAATACTGTTAAAGCATCCACTTAATGGAATTTCAAGTTTGGCTAGAAATTGAATTTTGAGATATTATTGCTGGTGAACTTATTATATGATCTGCCGCCAATTCTACATCATTTGCTTTACGCGTCTTTGCTCTCTTTTATACGTTCTATTCTGATATCTCTGTTGTTGTTTCTTTGACACTTTAAACACATGTCTGAAACAAGTAATGTAAAAAAAAAAAAAAAAAAAAAAAAAATTCAAAGGCAATTCCTATTTAGGTCAACAAAGAAACATTTTATTTTAGTTACTTTTTATTAAATAGTTACAATTAATATAAATATGTATATACATATGACAGAATCACAATACTAAATGACAAAACAGAAAGCGATTTTCCTTGCAATTTTCTATTTTTCTTTCTGTGTATGGTGTTGGATATAATTTTTGTTTGTTACTATTTACTTATGAAAGAAATTAAATTATTACAACAAAATAGTACATTGAAAAGAAATCACATTCACAGAAATTAGGAATCTCAGATATGATTTGAACCCACGTCCTTCGGATTAAATGTCCAACGCGCTATCCATTGCACTGCAAGGACACCACAAGCGTGCTTTTTTTTATGTATGGGGTTAGTCTATTATTTTTGTTTTTTTACCATTTATTAATTTTTTAATTTTATTAATGAAACAATATTTGAAAAACTGAATTAACATCCAGTGTCATCCACTACAAGTTTTAAAAAATGTATTTAAACTCAAGTGGATGAATAGAAAGTATTTCATCAACGATCGAAAATTTGAACAAGATATATATATATATATATATAAATATTAAGAAGAGATAGAACTAATAGTAGGAATCGAAAAAGAATGTTATTAACCTCGCCGTATACACTCGAGAAAACATATTGAATGTTCACTTCGAGAATCAAGTAAATAAACAAAGCATTTGTATGATAGTTATGGAATAGAAGAAATTGCAAAAATAATAATAATAATAATAATAATAATTTGGTCATAAAGTTTTAATACTGTACCTTTATTGCGAGCTCAATCCTATGAGATGATATTGAGCAAAGTAAAAGCAGAGGGCCGTGGTAGCCTACAGGTCAAGGTGTCGGATCGTGGCTGGCTTGTCACGAGTTCGAGCCCAGTACCACTAAAGACCCGCCGTGTAGGGGAGAAATGCACGTTAAATCTGTCGAAAGCTCAAACGTCCTCCCGTTGGTGTGGTGTGAAGCGGTAGTTAGGAGAGAGGGGTGTCTGCTCAGGTGTCGTCCTCGTCACTTGATCATGGTTAAAAGCTACAAGATCCGTCGCCAAAAGCCCTCGCGTAGCTGAACAGGCACACTAGGCACGTGCGTTGGGCGCAAAAAATTTGGAGATGCGAAAAAATGGAGGGTGAAAAAGGAGGGGAAAAATTAAAATTACAGCGAATAACCCCCAGAAAATCAGGTATGCCAGTAATTCTCAAAGTGGTTTGTACGGACCCCCCTTCGAAAGTCTTCGTGTAACTGAACACAGTGCGACGTTAATATTCACTCACCAAGGGGTTTATGACGAACTGCAAGAAGTCCACATCAGCAAAATATAATTTGGGGTCCTTGAGAGGTAAATGAGTATCTATAGTAGACTAAAACAGATGGCGCGTGACATGATTCAATTCCTACTATTAGTTCACACTCACCTTATATATACTTAGCTTAACTCAGTGGGGCAACAGGCCATGAGGACCAAGGCCTACTGTGTCCAACTCAATATGCCTGACCCTGGGCCCTGAGGTGCATGTGCAGATGCTGCGATCAGGTGGTCAGTCTGACGCGAAAGCCCCAGTGTTAAGTTCCCAAGCAAACATAGTACTCATTTATCGACCCACTGAAGAGCTGAAAGGATGAGTCGAGCTTGCCCAAACCGTGTTTGAACCTCGAACCTGTGATGTGGAAGCACGATGCACTAACCACTCAACCACTGGGCTTCTCGATATATATTTATTTATATATCTTGTTGAAATTTTCAATAGTTAAAAAAATTCTTTTTATTCAACCACTCAAGTTCAAACACGTTTTTTAACACTTTTAGTGGTTAACACATGATGTTAATAATTTTTTTCAAACATTAATTCATCAATTTTTTAATTAATGAATAAATAGTAACAAATAAAAATAACAGTTCAACACGCACACCATATATAAAAAAGGAAAAATTGCTCGTTGTGTCCTTCTAGCGCAATGGATAGCGAGTTGGACTTTCAATCCAAAGTTCGTGGGTTCAATTACCACCTGGGGTTCCCTAATTATTTCTGAGAATGTGACAAACAAAAATAATAATCCATCACCATATATGTGGCCACGGTAGCCTAATAGTCAAGGTATCGGATGGTGGCTTGCATGTCACGAGTTCGAGCCCATTATTACAAAATACCCGCCGCTTAGGGGCACTATGCACGTTAAATTTATTGAGAGATCAAACGTCATCCCGTTGGTGTGGTGTGGTAGTTAGGAGAGAGGGGTGTCAGCTCTAGTGTCGTACTCGTCACTTAACCATTGTTCAAAATTACGAAAGCCCTCGTGTAGCTGAACAAAGTGCGACGTTAATATACACTCACTTACTCACCCAGGGGTCTATGACGAACTACAAGATGTCTACATCAACAAAAAATAAATTGGGGTCATTCAGGTGTAAATGAGTGTCTACAGTAGACTAAAACAAATAGCGCGCGACTTTATTTAATTCCTACGATTAGTTCACACTTTCCTTATGTACACTCATGGACAAAAAAATTAGCGCTCCCAGAAATAACGGGATACGGGATCGCGTAACGAAACTTGGCATGAAGGTACATTTCAGGGAGATATGCATATTATTAGAAATGAAGCGTGATTGCGCATAACGTATAGCCGGTAGAGGGTGTTTAACGTCGTTTTCCGTGGAGTATAAAACAGGTAACCAAATTGTTTTAGTGTGCTGAATCGTTTACAAAGCAAAAGCTGAGGTAGACATGTCATTATACCATTTTCGAAGACAATATGAGCAGCTGTCGCAGTTAGAGATTTGGAGAATCATTCGCATGATGGCGCTTGGATGATTAGCTAGGCGAGTAGCTCGTCGATTTGGCCGCTCTGATTGTGTTGGGACTAGCGGATCCGAGAGATGTCATTTACACGAAGACCAGGCTCAGGATACCGATCGACGCCTCCGTTTGGAATGGTGCCGCGCACGGGCAAACTGGACTGCAGCGGAATGGGACCAGGTCGTCTTTAGTGACGAATCCAGATTCAATCTCAGCAGTGATGACAATCGTGTTCGTGTGTAGAGATCCCGTGGTGAACGCCCCAATCCTGCATTTGCTTTACAGCGGCACACCGCTCCCACAGCTGGTGCGATGGTATGGGGTGTCATTGCCTAATATGCACGGTTACCTTTAGTATTGATCCGTGGCCCCATGACAACCGAGTGGTATGTCCATGACATCCTGCAACCACTTGCGTTGCCACTCATGCAACGGCTAGCAGGAGCCAATTTTCAAAAAGACAATGCTCACCCTCACATGACAAGTGTGTCACAAGACTGTCTTTGCATGGTTACTACCCTTCCTTAGCCTGCCTGATTCCCAGATTTGTCTCCAATCGAGCAAATCTGCGATCATTTGAGATGTCGAGTTGGGCATCCCACGAGTTTGAGTGAACTAGAGACAAGGTTACAGCAAATATGGAACGAAATGTCTCAAGACATCATGCATAACTTGTATACCTCAATACCCGATCGTATCGCATCGTGCATGTGCGCTAGAGGGGGTTCAATAGGATATTAAACCCTCCATTCTTTTGCCTTTTTCTCTGAGAGAGAGAGAGAGAGAGAAATCAATGATTCTTTTTCTTTGATTTTCTAATCATTGACTTATATCAAAGTAGTCATTATATATGTAAAATTTCGTTTCATTTTGACAACTCATTCTTGGTGCGATAATTTTTTTGACCATGAGTGTATATTTAACTTTACTCAGTGGTGCAACAGGCCGTGAGGACCAATTCCTACTGTCCAACTGCTGCGATCAGGTGGTCAGTCTGATGCGAATCCCCCAGTATTAAGTTCTCAAGCAAGCATGGTACTCATTTATCGACCCACTGAAGAGCTGAAAGGATGGTCGAGCTTGCCCAAACCGTATTTGAACCTCGAGCCTGTGATGTGGAAGTGCGATGCACTAACCTCTCAACCACTGGGCTTCTCGATATATATTTATTTATATATCTTGTTGAAACTTTCAATCGTTAAAAAATTCTTTTTATTCATCCACTCAAGTTCAAACACATTTTTTAAACTTTTAGTGGATGACACTTGATGTTAATGATTTTTTTTTCAAATATTAATTTTTTAATTAATGAATAAATAGTAACAAATAAAAATAACAGTTCAACGCACACACACCATACCACTGTAGCGCAAAGGACAGTGCGTTGGACTTTCAATCCAAAGTTCGTGAATTCAATTACCACCTGGTGTTGCCTTTTTATTTCTGAGAATGTGACAAACAAAAAAACATGGTATATGTGGCCACGGTAGCCTAGTGGTTAACGTATCGGATCATGGGTGACATGTGAGACACGTACCTTAAACGTCATGACTGAAATGTCAGAGCTTAAACGTCTTCCCGTTGGTGTGGTGTGGCAGTTAGGAGAGGGTGGTGTCTGCTCAGGTGTCGTCCACGTCACTTGACCATGGTTCAAAATTATGTAGTCCGTCGCGAAAAGCTCTCGTGTAGCTGAGCAGTGCGACGCTAATATTCACTCACTTACCCAACCCCATATATAGAAAGGAAAATTGCAAGGCACTTAATATTACGACTCTGTTATATGTAAATACATATTTTTAGTAATTGTTTACTAAAAAATAATTAAAATAAAAATTTTCTTTGTTGACTTCAGTAGGAGTTGATTTTTTTAAAAAAAATTGTTAAATTACTTGTTTTTAAAAGAAAATTCAATCAAATGAAATCAGATTTACCTTTTTAACCGATTTATTTCCCGAATTTAATGTGGTTAATTTGCATTTACAAATATATTGGAACTTCTCAAATTTTACCAGTTTCTCAATTTTTCACAGACAAATAGTCAGGAAAATTTCTTAAACTACGTTGAACTTTTAAATGGCCTGGCCTTTATTCATGTTTTGAAATCAGGTTTGAGAGTGCTTTGACAATGGTAATACCGCAATGGGCAATGTGAATTCATGTGGCCACACTGAAAAAAAAATACCAGATTACAAAAGGAATTGATCGGAATAGAGAGAGCCACTAACGAAGATCTTAAAGTTTAGAAACGGATGTCAGCAATGTCGGCTTTAAAAGGATAAACCTGTCATTTACCGCAAATTATGGAACATCTTGAGAAAATTTTTAATTCTTTTTTTTAAAAAAAAAACGAGTTTCAGAGTGGTTGCCAATTTCTGAAACAAAAATAGAAAAAAAAAGAAAAGGAAAGCTTGGATACTTCTAACTGGGATTAAGGGTGAAACCTGACAAGATTGATGCCAAGTGACTGAGAGAGTGAATGAATATTAACGTTGCACTGTCCAGCTACTCGAGGACTTTTGGTGACAGACCTCATAATTTTGAACCATGGTCAAGGGACGAGGACGATAACAGAGCTGGCACCCTCTCTCCTAGCTACCACGCCAATGGGAGGACCTTTGAGCTCTCGACAGATTTAAGGTTATTCGCTCCCCTACACGGCGGGTCTTTAGTGGTACTGGGTTCAAACTCATGACATGCCAGCCATGATCCGATACCTTGACCACTAAGCTACTGTGGCCCCCGATAGCGAAGTCAGAATGCAATATTAATGTTGGAGTACTTTAATATTTGAAAAAATATTACGAATTCGGGCTCTATTCCTTAACTGAAGACCGCTTCGAAGCACCATGTTTATCCCACCTATTCAAAGTATTTGTTTATTTATTCTTGCAGTTATTTTACGTATGAATTAAATTTTAATTTATAATTAATTAACATTTTTTTCTTAAATTTTAAATACTATACTTCAGTACAATTAAAAACACAGAACTTTTTCAGTAAATAGCTCTGTACTAGCAGTTAAAAAGACATTTAAGTTGATAAATTTGCAAAAGTTCAATATTAGTAACAGTGGTCTTCCCCAAACAGAAAAACATGGCAAAGGGTCTATGAGACAAAATTTTGCGAATCTCTCCCTTAAACCCTTGCAAACCAAAACAAGTATTTCCGAAATTTCATTTTGAGGTTATGAAATTGCATTCTAGACACAGACTTTTCACTTTGAAGTAAGTATCTTATTTTTGCTCGAAATTCTCGAAAAAGCTCATAATTGTTATTCTTAATATTTATTCAAAGTGAGAATTATGTGTATTATGTTGGACTCCAGAATCATCTCTGATTGTAACGAAGCACAGATGTTGCATCAAAAAAAGACCAGAATTTTTTTATCATTTCAATATATTGAAAATTCTCAACAATCATACAGTAATTAATTATTTATTTTTTATTTTCATATAAGTTCAATACGCGGGAATTTCACATCTTGAGGTTTTATTCCCTTTCACTCATTTTCTCTCTTTCTTGACTTTGCATTTGAAAGGATTTTATATGTTAGTCGTGTTTTGTGTGTATGTTAGTTTAATATATTTTGTACAGACATACAATTATTTTCACTATTCTGTCATTCAGAATATTAAGCGGGAAAATAAGGAAAAAAAAACATAATCCCTACGATGAAATGGTATATTTCAAGAAAAAGGAAATAAAATCAATAATACTTGGAAAAGCATTTCGTCATTTTCGATACTTGATTTTAGAATAATGTACTATATAATAACCGAATTTGTGCGAATGTTTTCGGAAATAAAATTTCAGTGGGAAAAAAATGCAGTCGAACCTCCATATCAAAAACCTCTAGATTGAGAATTTTTCTATATTACGTTTTCCTGGAACAAAGAATATTTTACGATTTTCTTCGTAAAAATAACCTCACAATAACGAAGCAAATTTTCTTTATGAACTTTTGCTATTGCGATTCAATATTTTTTCTTCCTATTTTCGAAGTATTTCTGGATATTTCAAGTTTTTCTGTCTTTTAACACATTTTATGGTGGTCATAAATCTTAAACTAGTTTTATTAGGTGCCTAACTCACCAAGAGCAATAGAATTCTGAGCTTTAAACCAAGAAGTGCAACCTTTAACCCCTGTTATACAGTTCACTGGAAGCATCTTCAATATATCCTTTCATTCTTTGTGGTGTCTCGTGTCCCCGTGTCTTTGAACTAGTCTCCATTCATTTGTAGTGCTGATCCGTCGTACCGGTAATTTCATTTCTTGTAGCTCGAAAATGTCAAAACGTATGAGCTTGAGCCTCAAAGAAAAAAATTGAATACTTCAGGAAATTCATAAAGGCGTCAAGAGACTTTCCCCTTGCAGTTTTTCTTTCTTTCTTTTGTTTTTTTATGGGTAAGGTATATAAAATAAATATAAACTGCTGTTTGTAAAAAATGCAACACCACGAAGGAATAATCAGAATTAAATGAAATCTAATGCACAAACGACTTGTATTAGTACAAATAAATGACGAAATTTTCAAAGCAAAAGCACAATATTAAGTGTCCGAAATCAGTATATGGTGTAGCCACCACGCGCTGCAATTAGTTGTGCTATACGACGTGGCATGGAGTCAAATAGATTTTGAATGTCTGCTTGTGGAAGAGAATTCCATATTGCTTGTATGCGCAGCAAAAGTTCGTCTTTTGAAACTGCAGGACGCAGATCACGAGCGAAACACCGATCAGCTAAATCCCACACTTGCTCAATAGGCGACATATTCGGTGAATAAGCAGGCCAAGGAAGAAGTTGCATGTGTTGGGTTGAACAGAGGTCTCGGACAGTCTTTGCAACATGTGGGCGTGCATTATCCAGCTGAAAGACAGCTCCAGGAATGCCTTGAAGGATGGGAACAACTTCGGGCTGTAGCACTTCACGGACGTACCTGTTGCTATTGAGATTACCCTCAATTCGTAGCAAATTGGATTGTCCATGATACGAAATCGCACCTCAAACCATAACTCCGGGTTTTAGGCCACTATGTTGTTCGATAACGTACTCTGGAAGATAGCGTTCACCGGCATAGCATCTAACACGATTGCGGCCATCATGATTCCACAAATTGAAGCGTGATTCATCTGAAAAGACAACTTGGTGCCAATCAGCTTGTCAAGCTCTGGGCTCATGAGCCCATTTCAGACGCAGCCGTCGGTGGTTTGCCGTGAGGGGGATCCTGTATAAAGGCACCCTAGCACGCAATCCATGGTGCAGCAGACGTCGACGAACTGACGAAGCCGACATTAGTACACCTGTAGCAGTAGACCAATGTGTTGCCAACTGCATGGAAGAAGCTGTACGGTCATTCACCGTGTCAATCGTCGCGCGCTGACGTCACCTTCATTACTGCCAGTTTCTTGAGTTGTTCGGTGCTCGTCGGTCCACTGCTTCCAAAATCGCATCACTGTGGAACTGTTCCGCTGCACACGAGCTCCTATTGCGCGATAAGAAAATCCTCCTTCTCGAAGGCCGAAAATACTCCCCCGTTTAAACTCCGCAAGTTGTTGGAATTTCTCCTTATTTCGTCGTGGAGGTCTCACTAAATGTTCGCCACTAATAAATAGTCATTAACTATTTTCAGTGTCCCGCTACTGCCCTCTATTTATCCGCTTTCAGCATCAGTTCAGAGGGTGCGCCACGCATGCGCGGTGACTCTGAAACTTTACTATTTTACGTAAATCCTATAGTAGATATTTGCTGCAAAGTTCATTTAATTCTGATGATTCCTTAATGGTGTTGCATTTTTTACAAACAGCAGTGTATATCCCTTCCGTGGACATCTGGCTTACCATAAGGTAGCACAATATTTCATGTTATTTCCTGAACACATATGCACACATAAGCTGCTGTACATTGAGTGTAAGAAATGCGCGGTTTATGCCTCCTTGCTTTTCAGCTAGTCTCGAAATTGAACCGTGTATCACTCTCTGCCCTAGAAAGTGCTAACGCATATGCTGCTTTGTCCACGACTGAGTTAAAACTTAGTGATGATATTAAAATAATTACACAATATAGAGCAGGGATACTCAAACTTTTTTTCTGCTGGGCCGCATGCATATGCCAGCCATTTTCATGCGGGCTGCGTACATATGTTAGTTATTTCACGCGGGCCGCAACATGAAGATAAATGAGGAAAGAGGGGGGGAAATGCTTTAAGATCAACATAACATTGAAATTTAAAATGTGGAAAATTGATCATAATATTATAACTCACATGTTTTGCTTTTTTTAATTATTATTTTTTTTTATTTTTGTTACTTACAGAAGCATTTAAGAAACACTCATCACACTATTTATGCATTTGTAATCGGTTTCATGTGATTACCAATAATGTAACAAACTCCAAGGGATGTATTTGTTACTGCTGTGATATTACTACTGA